GTTCAGCCCAGCTGGTTTTGACAAGTGGTGCCCCCCATACCTGTTTGGGAAGCAGATCGGATGGGCAGACCTTTCCTCTTGCTGTGTTTGAATCCCAAACTGTTTTCGCAGTGATCCTGCGGGATGTAGCAGAGGGAAATGGAGCCTGCGGGGAGCACTGGACCCTAACGCATCATCTCTGCTGTAAGCAGCTGGCAGAGCTTTGTGGTCACCAGTTTGGGATGTGTCAGTAATGGGAATCATGGACTTTGAGGTATCGATCCCTAATTAACTGAGCATGGGAAGGAGGTGGATTGGAAAGCCTTGTGTTTCTGGGCTGCGTGCTGCCCCACCGGCTCTTTGGCTGTGTTCACTCCTCAGGCAGACATAATGGGGCTGGGGGTTACACCCTGATCTGGGGGCGGTGTCTAGAGACCTGTTGCTGTTCTTCTCCTTGCCCAAAAGCTGCCTGGAATGAGAGCTTGGATCAGTTGGGGAGCACAGAGCCATGCGTAGGGGAGGACACATGGATCAAAGCCCTCTCTGCCTTTGGGGCTGTGATGGAGACTGGTTGTGTGGGTCACGCTGCTGTGCCCCAGTGGGGCTGATGGGAGCGGTGGGAATCTGGATCTTTTATCTTCTGGGTTTTTTAGCAAATCTCCAGCCTAGCCTGTGTGTGGGCGTCCACACAGCTGTGGTTTAGTCCCTCACACAAGCCACCCATAAAGCCCAGGAGCTCTGAGATGGTAGGGAAGGACAAGGGCAGCCGAGTGTGCCTTTGCAGTGGTGGCAGTACCACAGGGCAGGTGATGCTTGCTGGAGCAGCAACGCCAGCTGCAGCTTGACAAACTGTGAGACAGGGAATGATGGCTGTGTGCAGCCAGCAGGGAGCACAGGAAAGCTGTTTGGGTTCAAGACTGGCTGCAGATAAACTGGAAACTGCCCTCAGAGCAGCGGTGGCCTCGGGGAGCTTCACCATGGAAATAGCAGGAGCAGGACGCTGGCTTGTGAAGGGACGTTTTGGGGTGTTGTCCCCAGAGAAGGACGGAGGCGTGGGCTGACCCAGCGAGTCCCCTCTGTCCTCTGGTCCTTGTGCTGCTTGGTTTGTCATGCTGCCAGCCCGTAGGGCCCTTCACTTGTCTCCTGCGGTTAACAGGAGCGGTGTTTGCAATGACTGTGTGGTGGGTTCATCTCCTGTAGTTTGTTTGTTCTACAGCCAGTGAAAGCTGTTCCTCCAGTTGAGAGCAACAAATCTGCATTTTCAGCTGAAAATAGTATCTCCTCTGACCATCCTTTTACTGGTAACAGATTCCTTTTGAGTCTTACGAGCTTGCCATGGGTCCTTGCTCCCAAAGGACCTGCCCTAGACATCAGTGACTCCATCAGATCTTGAACTTAAACCCAGTAAACTTTGCCTAAATTATTTCTAAAGTCCTCTTGGTTTTTTTTCCTCTAGGTGTTCAGCTGATCTGTAAGTGTGGTTATTGCAGTAAGCCCTAGTGTGGATGCAGTTTCTGTAGTCTTTGGGAAGGCTTCTTCCCATGTGAGAGCAGCTCATTTGATCTGAGCTGCTTTCGTGACACAGAAATGTCCTGGTGGGTCAGCTTCAGTAACCCAGCACAGTTAATGTGGGACAGCGTTGTTGTGTGCTGCACATCCCGGGGCGCAGTGCAGCCTGACAGGCGTGTCCTCCCTGTGTGCCGTGACGCCTCTGCTGTGAGCTGCCTCCGGGCTCCCTGTCCATCTCTGGCGGTGCTGTGGCCAGGAGAAGTCTGGTTTCTCTTTTGCAAGACAAAGCCGCAAAGTAAGTTGGCTTCTCTGAAAGCTCGTGGGTGAAACCAGAAATGCCCAGCAGCAAGAGGCCTTGTTACGTGCTTCTGGGGGTCTTGTATTTTCTGCAAAATACTGCTGGGGTTTTGTTCAGCGGCTCCATCTTCCCAGCTCTGCTGCCTGGGCTGATACCAGCAACTTGTGTCAGCCTAGGAGGGCTCCCCCGGCGGGGCAGGCTCCCAGTGCCTCTCCTGTGCTGGGTGGGTGCTGCTCAGGGAAGGTCCCTCTCCGCAGGGCTGCTGCCACCCACCTCCTGAGAGCAGAGCTGCCTCTGCGCTGCCATGGGTGTACGAGGGGGAAGATCTGGGGTGTTTTGCTTTGGCCGTGTTGCTCTTGAGAGGGAATGCTGCAGGGCTGTCCCTGCCAGGGCAGTGAGTGTTGTTCTGGGGTAGCTTCTGACCCAGTGTGGAGGGGATGCTCTGTGCCCTCCTGCTCCCCATGGAGCTCCCTGGTGGAAATGGGCTGGGGAAGGTTTTGTGCTTCTCACTTAAGATAAAAGACAGCACAGGAGAAACAACTTCTAAGAGGCTTAAAAGCAACAGGCTTTCTCTTCCTCCCGGGAAGGGCGCACAGCCAACAGCTTGCTCTTTACGGATCTCTTAATAAGCAGAATATTGCATTAAGAGGGGCTGGGTCTGCCAAGTAGGAGCAGAACAGCTCTGCACCCCCTGCAGCTTCCTCCATCCTGGTGCACGTGTGGCTCAGAGCCACTGGTCATTGCCCTCCTGGCTGCCTTTTCCTGCTGGCCAAGGTGGCAGGATTTGTCGCTGGCTGAGGCTGGGGCTGTTTCTTCATTTGTGGGGTGTTTCTAGAGCAGCTGAGTTTGCCTCTTGCTCTTCTCCTCTCCTGAGGTTTCTCAGCAGCTGCTTTGATGATGGGGGGAGTAAGGCCAAGGAGTGTTGAAAGATGTTGCCTTATGGGAAGGCAGCACCTGAGAGGTGATGGGAGGAGATCTGGTGCGTTAGAAAAACCTGTGAGGGTGAGGAAAGCTCCCAGGCAGGCTGGTGTCTCAGGTAAGGACTCAGGGATGCTCCGGTTGAGCTTCACTTGTCCAGGAGTCCTGCAGGCACAGGGACAGAAAGGTTCGAGGCTCCTGGGTGCGCAGGGTGGGTTGGTTGGCTGCTTTGAGAAGAATAAGTCCTCCTTTTCTTTATGTCCCCAGCAAAGCTAAAAAGAGCATGGCCCAATTTGTAGCTTTGTAGGTCAGTGAAGGAGGAGGAGGGCTCTGCAGTGCTTTCCTCTGCCTGGAAGTACTCTGTGCCCCTGGCTCTTAAGGAAGAAATTGGAGAGAAAAGCAGGAGGAAGATGACCCCCAGTCACTCTGATATTAAACTTTGAAGCTGTGTGTCTGCAACATATCAGTTTAGACCTCTGGGAAGAAATACTAGTAAATATGGGCATTCTGGGGAGACCCTATGCTGCTGCAGGCTTTGTCATGGTTGGAGGTATCAGCACGCTGCTCTGTGGTCGGCAATGGGTGATGGTGCTGCTCCGCAGACTGGTGGCCTGGTAAGGATTCCTGCCCCCTTGCAGGAGGCTGCTCGGAGGCAGAGAGTGTGAGCTGGGAAAACAGGAGTGAGTGGAGTAAAGCAAAGCCAGGCAGGTCTGGCAGGGATAGATCTTTCTTCCTGTGCTTGCTCGCTGCCTCGCCCCGGTGCTGTGGAGGTTGCTGTGCCCTGCGTGGATTGCTCAGCACGTGGCATCGGTTCTGGGGCCGGAGGGAGCCTCGCTGCCTCCTGTTCCTCCCTAAGCAGTGGCCCCAGCGAGGTGCAGCCCTGCTCCAGCACCCCTCGTCCCCCAGCTCTGAGGGATGAGCAGGTGGTTTGTGCCTCGCCAGGGCTGCGTGGCAGCATTGCCAGTCGTGCCTCAGGGTGGGTAATGTGGCAGCAGCGCCTGCTTTGGCCACCTCTTAGGGTCTAAAGCTGCCCTGGTTGTGCCCATGGGATTCCTGTGGGCTGGTTGTAGCCTGGGTTTGTATTTTCTGCTCAGCCGGGATTTGCTGGAGTGGGACCTGTGGGAATGGCTTATAAAGCACTGTCCTTGCAGCATCTGACCTGCTTCAAGGAGAATCAAACAAGCAGGGTCACATTTGCTCCTGGCCTGTTGGTGATTAAGGAGGTGGGTTTGGGAGGCTGCTCAGATCCCAAGGGGAGCTTCCAGCACTGCTCCCTGGGTACTGCCAGCAATGTCACCATGCCCCATGTCCTATGGCAGCCTTCCCAAGCACTGAGTGAGCAGCCTCTCATTTGTATTGCCCAGTTTAGTCACATCCTACCAGATATAACTGAGCCAGAGTAAACAGGGACATTTGATTTCTTCATCTTGTTGCACTTCCTTGGTGTTTGGAGCATGCCGTTTGATTATGGCTTTTCATGTGTCGAGGATGCTTCCCCTCGTGCCTGCCAGCGAGAGGGCACATGTTGGGAGGCTGCTGCCCAGAGCTGCTCTCCCACACTAAAGGGACGGTGGCCAAGGCAGTGCTGCAGCCATGGCTTCTCCAAAGCTGTAACTCTGTCTCCTTTTGCACAGATCTGGGGGGTGATCTGGCTTCCAAACTACGCTGCCCAGAAGAATTGGTTTTCACAGCTCTGTCGAAGCCTTTGAGCTGCAAGGACGAGGACAGGTAGAGTTTACACCATGTAAAATAATGTCTCCAGCTGTTAAAGACGCTCTTACTTTACCTTGTATGAGAGCATTTAGACATGGTTGCTGTGGGTTTGTACCCTCCACCTCAGAGCTTGTGCTTCAGGCTCGGGGATCCTGCCACCCTCCTCAGGGCACAGTGTTGCATGTGGCTGCTGGGTAGCACTGGGGGACTGTGGGCAACATGGGCAGCTCTTCCCCATCTTTGGTCCCATAACGCTGCAACTGAGGCGCTGGGCAGAGCAGCTCCCAGCCCAGTACTGCCCCGGCACACGGGCAGCGCAGCTGAGAGCCGCACCGTGAGCCGTGCACACACGTGGGTGCTACAAGGAAAGCCCTGTGGGGCCAGCAGGACTCACTGCCAGGGTCCGAGCCTGTCCAGCTTCGAGGCTGTGGCCTTGTTTCTGGCAGGGTGCTGAGGCCAGTGCAGCCCTTCACCCTCCGTTACCTGTCACCTCCTTCCCTGAGCACCATGCGGCTGCGGGTGGGTGCCTGTGTGCAGCGCAAGGCTGGCGTCTGTTCTAAAGGCATCCGTCCTTGTTCTTGCAGGGCTGCCGTTGAGCCATGTCCAACGACCCTCCGCCACCCTACCCGGGAGGTCCCTCGGCACCGCTGATAGAGGAGAAGCACGGCCCACCCTCTGCAGCAGGTACTGGGGGGATCCCAGCTGCTCTAGGTGTTGGAGTGACATTGCTGAGCGAGTGGGCTGTCCCTGGCTGTGGCCTCTCCTCACAGCTCTGTCCCATGGGGTGCAGCACACTGGGAAGGGTGGCACGATGCCTGGCTCCATCTGTCACCGTATCACCTTCCAGGGAGGCGGGAGGTCCCAGGAGAAGGGACAAGAGCTCAATGCCTGGCTCTGCTCACTGCTGTGGGTAATGTGGGGTGAATTTGGGCTTCTTGTGGCCCAGAGGACAAGGTTTGGGGGGTGCCCCCCACCCCGTGTTGTATCTCCCTTCCCTGCTGGGGCCAGTTCCCCCTCAGACCACCCAGCTGAGCTGCCCTGTTCCCACCAGCTCTGCCGCCTCCTGCCCACTGACTCTGTGTTTCCTTTCAGATGGTGTCCCTCCTGTGATGGGACAGCCGCAGGGGGTTCCCATCCCTCCTCCTGAATTTGGCCCCCCTCCGTATGAGCCGCCCTCACAGCCGGGGTTTGTGCCCCCCCACATGCCCACAGACAGCTCTGGGCCCTATGTGCCGCCTGGTGAGTGCCACGGGGCTGCATCAGGCAGGGGGTGGTGATGGGCAAGGACCTCAGGGAGTGGGGTTGGGGAGGGGGACAGAACTGGAGTGGGGGAGGGGCTGGCATTTGGAGCTTCCAGCAAGGCTCCTCGGGGTTGGGGGCACAGAGCCTGCAGCAGGGCAGGCCCCAAATCCATACCCAAGGTGGTGGGGTGCCAGCAGGGTGGCAGAAGCATGGGGCTCCCTCTCAGTGAGGATCTGGCCTCTCCTGCTGCACGCAGTGATGTTCACTTGTGGACGTTTCTCGTTTCCAGCAGGTTATTACCCACCCCCAGGACCTCACCCCCCCATGGGCTACTACCCAGCCCCAGGCCACTACCCCTCTCCAGGCGGCCACACGGCGACAGTCCTCGTCCCATCAGGGGCTGCCACCACCGTGACAGTGCTGCAGGGAGAGATCTTCCAGGGTGCCCCCGTGCAGACAGTGTGTCCCCACTGCCAGCAAGCCATCACCACCAAGATCACTTACGAGATTGGGCTCATGAGCTTCCTTCTTGGCTTCTTCTGCTGCTTCGTGGGGTAGGTGCTGCAGGCAGAGCTGGGCCTCCCAGCCACCAGCAGCCCTGTGGTGACGATGATCTCTGCCTGGTCCTGGTGGTCCTGAGCCCAGTGGCCTTGGCTGAGCTGTTGGGCATATCAGGGGCCTCGGCACTGATGTGTTACTGGGGCAGCAGGGTTCCTGGGGGTGACAGTGCCTCGAGACCTGGGCTCCTGCCAGAGTGGGGAAGGTGCCACCACTGAAGGGCCATGGTGGAGCTTGGCAGCAGAGGGACTTTTTGCAGCAGCTGTCTGTCACCAAGCCCAGAACCCACAGCGCTGCCAGCAGCCATGACCTCTCCTCGCCGCCAAGTGCTGCCAACAAGGCAGGGGGGCTGTGGGAGGGGATGAGGGGGGCTGTCCCAGCTCCTTCCCCAGCAGAGGAAGTAGGTCAGGCCACAGCACCTGCGTGTGTCTTGCCCTGCTCACAGTGCTCTGCTTGTTCCTGTGCTCCAGGTGTGATCTCTGCTGCTGCCTGATCCCCTGCCTGTTTGATGACTTCAAGGACGTGACACACACGTGTCCCAACTGCAAGGCCTATATCTACACGTACAAGCGCATGTGCTAACAGCACCCGGGAGCCTGAGCCGCTGGAATGACACTGGCCCCTCTTCCCACTGCCGTCCTAATCTCTGCGTGTGCTCCACTCTTCGCTTGCCCCTCTGGCGGTGTGTATGTGTGTGTCCCCATCTCCCTCCCGCTCAGAGCTGTGACCACCTTCCCCCAGCTCCGGTCCTTGCTGTGAACGGTTGGGTTGGCGATACTGGCATGGGTGCTCTGGGGAGGTGAGCCGGGTGGGGGCCATACCTCTGCACCCCCTTATGCTCCAGGGCACTATTGAGGCCCCTTTCTCCTGGAACACCCTGGGGCAGAGCAGCAGCTGCTGGAGGCGCCCACCCCTCGCTCCGCATTCCCCCACAGCCCAGGGCTGTGCTGCACCCACAGGGAGGGCCTGCAGGCCCTTGAGGGAATCAGGGGGACCCAAGCATCCCACAGCGCACTCAGGGGAGGTAGCACAGTCCTTGTGGCACTTCAAGGAGCCTGGTGGTGGCTCAGTGTTGAGGAGAGAGAAGGCAGTCCTAGGTCTGCATGCGGCCCGTAAGCAAAGCCCGTTCCCAGGGAAAGGCAGGCACAGTCACCTTCAAGGCACAGTGAGGATGGCGGGGGGGAAATGGCAGCTGCCTTGCCCAGGGACTGTAGCACTGCACCCTTATCAGCACCTCCGTCCTGTCAGAGTGGTGGCTCCAGCTGCATGCGCCTCCTCCCAGCCCCTGCTGTGGCTCTTTTGGGGAAGAAAAGCCCCTGGCAGTTCCTCACCCACCTGGCAAACTGTTAGTGAAAAATGCATCCGGCATGTCACCGCCTGCCCAGCGCTGTAGATTAGAGGAGTTTGTTACCAGGCTGCAGCTGGCTCACAGCTCTGGCGCAGACCTCTGCCCACCTGCTGCAGAGCTGCATCCCCACCCTGAGCCCAGCAGGGCCTGCGGGCGTACACCCTGCAGCCTCCATCCTGCCACAACCATAGCTGCACCCTGTAGGGTTCCTCATTGCATGTGGGTGTAGGGGGTTTACTTTTAGCTCACTTGATGGGGGCAGAAGAAAGGGGCCAAGCAGGTAGGGACAGGAGGTGCCAGCAGCATGATAGAAGCAGGCAAGAGGACCATTTTTTGCCCTTTCTGTGGCAGTGCCTCTTCCTCCCTCCTCTGGCCCCCAGTCCCTGCAGCCAGGGCAGCCCCCAGGGAAAAGCAGGGTGTCTCTTAGTACCCAGGTCTGCAAACACAGCCTGGCCTACACTGGCAGCTGCTGTCTGCTCAGAGGTGGAACTGTGACACCAGTCAGTGTTTTTATGTAAATAAATAACAGACCCCGAACTCTGTGTACTTCTTTTCTTCTCCCCCTGCTCCAAACACACAAACAGCAGATCCAGCCCCAGGGAGACTGAGAAGAGATGGCATGAGTGGGGGGCACAGCAGAGCTGGAGGAAGAGCAGCAGCTCCCTGGCGGTAAGAGGAGCTTCCCCATCTCTCATTGTGCCCGAGTGGAAAAACCCACTAAGCCTGGGCTGGAGGAAGGCAGAGGAGTGCCCATGGCACCAATCTCAGGACCTTTCTGAGTTGTGGGACCCCTAACAGAGCAGGAACCCCCTCTGCAGGTGAAAGGCCCAGGCTGTGACAGCACTTGCCTGCACCCTTTGAGGAGGGGTAGTAAACCCAAGGGGAGGCAGCAGGGACAGAGCAGGGTGTAAGGGCAGGAGACAAATAAAGCAGCATGGGAGTCTGTACCTACTGTGCTTCCCTCCATTTACCTCCTCCCCAGCCTTCCACATCCCCCACACACACCTGCACCTCACAGAAGCCATCACTCCCTCTCTCCCAGTGATGTGCTTTTGACCTTCTCCAGATACAGCATCACAACTTTATTTCAGTCAAGGCTTCACAAGGAAAAAAGACAGCCTACAACCCCAATGTGGCAGAAAACATTTGTCACCTTTACATCCCCACCCACACACCCAGTCCTGTCCCCACCCAGTGGGAACTTCCACCCACACCAGTCATCCTTGGTCCCTAGAACACTGCAAAGGGCTAATGGCCACATGGCACAGCCACTGCAGCACAACTGACATCAGTTTCTCAGGGTAGGAAACCAAGTGCTCCTTCTTACAAAGACTGAAGACACATCCTTGGGTTGCAGCCCAGGACAGGAACCACCCTCCAGTGACAGCTCCCGGACAGGAGATTAAAAGCCAGGCAGGTGAAGACTTTGCCAGAACAGAACAAGATGCCTCCAGCCTTGAAAGCCACCTCAGGCTCAGTAGGGCAGCACTGAGGTAGAATCCTCACACCAGCTCAGCCCTGCACATGAGTCAGCTAAAGAGATTATATTACAGCACTTGCACCACTGCTGTGCAAGGAGTCTTTGACAATCCGGCAGGAGTCCTGTGTTTTGGTTTTTTTCCTCTCACTTACACCCTGCAGTCAACTCACCACCAACAGCAAGGGAAAAGTCCGAAGGACGGGGCGCTCCTCTCCCCATCACATGATGTACCATGCCGCAACTCCTGCTGCCACAGCCACACAGGCTGCCAGGATCAGCTGCACCAGGGGCTGCTTTGCCAGGGCCACACCAGCGTGATAGGGGCAGCCGGGTCCCACTGTGCCTGCCAGAACACAGAGAGCACCATTAGTGCTGTGAGCCCTGAGCCGTGTGCCTGGGACAGCTCTCACTGCCCACAACCTACCTAATTTGTCTGCGTAGTAAGGGCATTTGCGTAAGTCTCCTTTTCCATCGTGGACTGGAAAGCCTCCATCCTGGGCTTCTTCTGTCAGCGACCTGCCAATCTTGTCCAGTTCATCGAACACCTGCAAGCAGTCACAGTCAGTGCCTGGGGCAGGCAGAGCCCAGAAGCTTCCATCCACACCTGTGGTCTGACTGGAGAACAGGCAAGGACTACTCCTGCCTCCCTCCTCCCTGTGAAGACAGTGCACACATGGGCAGCCCTGCGGTGACATCTGGCACATGCTACGGCTCTGAGAAGGCACAGCCCATTCCAAGAGCATCAAGTCAGACCCAGAAGCGAGACAAATGCAGCACTGTCCTGCTCTTTGCTTTCCAGCCTCCTGCAGGCAGGAGCAGGAGGCAATGCACTCTCCCCTCCCTGGTGCAGCCCCACTCTGGGGATCACTGCTCCTGTCTGCAGTGTTCAGGTGGCTCCTCCAGCTCCACTGCCAGGGGTTTCCTTAAGGATCCTGACAAAGGAGCCAACCACATCCCACCACATTTCTGGCCAGCTTAAACCATGACAACCTGCTCCAGGCAAATATCAAAGCTGCCCTGCAGTAGCTAATACCATGTTCATCCCCCTGCAGCAGGGGTAACTCAGTCAGGTTTTGCGAAAGGCAAATACTATGGAGAGGAACAAGAGGATACGACATTTCTGGCCATTAGGCAACACATCAGACATGACACAGGAGACAAATGGTAACCAGTGTGGTGCAACACGCTCACATGGTTTGAGGCTCTCCCAGAGCTCTCCCTGCTGCTTCAGAGCCACACAGCCCATGGGAATGTTGTAGTGAAGTCATTTCAGTTTTGCCCTAATCAAAGGCTTGGCTGTGGTGTTGGAGCATAGGAATTCCTGCCCAACCCCAGCCATGTCTCCAGAAGCTAGCGGGGGACCCACTCTAACCAGAATCCCATCCCCTCAGATGGGAGGGGCTCCGGTGGTCTCAGACCCAAACCACTTTCCCTGGATGAGCAGTCTGACCAATTTAACCTGCAACTAAGAGTTGGTCCAGACCTGACAGCAGCACCTACACAACCCAGGACTCAAAGGAGTGAGTACCTGCATGTTGAATCTGAAGGCTCGGTTGGCCTCTTCCACGATCTTTTCCTTGGTGATCTTGTCTAAGTCCAGAGCATTCATCCTTGCTCTGTAGAGCTGCTTGAACTGCTGTGCATTGGAAACATTATCAAACACGTAGAATTGGATCCCTTCCTCAGTACTGGGCAACTTCAGAGCCCTCTGGGCTACCTTCTTCAGCACTTGGCCGCCTGAGAGGTCCCCCATATAGCGTGTGTAAGCATGAGCCACCAGCAGCTCTGGCTCGTGCTGTCCCACATGATGGATTCTGTCCACATAGTGCTGAGTTGCCTCTGAACACTGGATCTTCTCTTTCCAGTCTTCTCCATAGAAATATTTCAGGTCTTTGGCCAACGCCTCTCTCCGGTGAAGCTCTAGGGGGAAATAAAGCGGAGCAAAGACTGGGCTGTCCTTGTTGCGATCCATTTCCTCTTCCAGAGCAGAGTACGTGAAGTAAAGTGCCACAGTGGCCAGCTATGGACAAAGCACAGCTAATTAAGAAGCCATTCACTAGGTTGGCACATCACACCTTATGACTATCCCCCCCCTGCATGGAGTTGGGTTAAACAAGGAGGAAACCCCCAGGATTGACAAAACCAGCCTGGAAATTCCATACCAGGCATGTGAAAATGGAAAGATCAGAGGCTTTTCTCTTCAAGGGAGGTATAAATTGGATATCAGGAAAAATTTCTTCACCAAAAGGGTTATCAAACACTGGAACAGGCTGCCCAGGGAAGCGGTTAAGTCACCATCCCTAGAGGTATTCAAAATCAAGTTGTGGCACACAGGGACATGGTTTTGTGGCGGACTTGGCACTGTTAGGTTAACAGTTGGACTTAGGACCATAGAGTCATTAAGGTTGGAAAAGACCTCTGAGATCATCAAGTCCAACCGTCAACCTAACACCACCATGCCCACCAAACCATGTCCTTAAGTGCCACATCTGCATATTCTTTTAACACCTCATGGGGTGGTGACTCCACCGCTTCCCTGGACAGCCCATGCCAATGCTTGATCACACTTTCAGTAAAGAAATTTTCCCCAATATCCAATCTAAGCCTACCCTGGCACAACTTGAGGCCGTTTCCTCTCATCTATTGCTAGTTGATTATCGTAAAGATCTTTTGCAACCTGAATTATTCTATACCTATGTTCATGACAGCATTGCCTACAGAGCATGAGCTAAGAATTAGTCTAATGTTGCCTGCTGCATGTCCTGGGTCTCCTGTCACCTTGAGAACAAAGCACAGGGACTAACTTAATCCATAAAGTTCTACTGCCTCATGCTGTAGGAGACTACTGTATACGCCAAGATGTTCAGGATCAGACAGTGCTGCTCAAACCCAAACCAGAAGTGAAAGCAATACAACCTAAAGCCTGTGGAAAACAGCTTAGTCTCCAGATGATGAGATAAGTGCTGTGATCTCACCAGATCTACACAGCTTATGCCACCAGTATCTGTGCTGCAGCCACACCTGCCTTGAGTGGCCACCAGATATGTGACCAGCAGATGTGTGGCCAGAAGCCCAGCACTTCCACTTAAGCAAATCTGTGCTAGGCCATCATGCTCCTCACCCCCTGGTTCCCAGCTGTAGGATGCACCAGGCAGGAGCCATAGACAAAGGTTCTCCTGTTGCTTTGACTCTTCAGTCACACCACCACCCGGATTCCTCCCCATCCCCTACACACAGGGCTGTGTGGCTCTGCCTCAGAGCCTGCATCCATAATGGAGTGCGTCAAAGAGCAAAGCAGCACTCACCTTGAAGAGCTCCTTCTTGATCCGTCCTTTCAGGAAGTCTTTGACAAACTGAGTGTTCTCCGCACGGTCGTGGGATTCCTTAGTCCCCCCCTTCAGCAGCTCCGAAAGGTCAGTGGGACTGCAGGCAAACAGGGAGAGCTCCTTTCAGCCCACTTCCACACGCAGTCAAGAGTTTGTCCCTGCTGTGTTTGGAGGGAAACCGCCCCTCCCCATCCCAACTCCCTGCCTTTTCAGGCCCAGTTTGCAGAAGGTACAAGGTGGGATCCCACAGACTGGCACCACCAGGAGGAAGCAGCAGGGTGGCAGCAGCCAGAGGCTCCTTCCACAGATGCAGGTGCCCGCGTGCCATTATGGGAGGCTGGGGCTTACCAGAGGCTTAGACCCAGGATGCTGAAACAATTGCCAAGGATTCGCTGACCCCTGCACCATTACTTTTGCTTCTCATCCGTGCGAACCCCAACAATACTACAAAATGAGGCCTCAGCTCATGAAAAGCAACTACCAGGGCAGGCTAAAGGGCACAGGAGCCTTAGTGGCAGCCCCTGTGGTCACTGTGGAGAAGGAGAAAGGCTCAGGCAGGAGCAGACACATACACAAGAAGATTTTTCCTGAATTTCACTGTTTTTGCAGGTTTCCACAAGTTGTCTTTCTTAAAAAAGAAAAAGCAAACCAACCCAAACAAAACCAACCAGCCACACAAAAAAATCCAAAACAAACCAAACAAAAAAAAGCCCCTACGATTTTAGATTGCAGTCACTGCACCTGCCTGGAGTCTGGTACAGAGTTATCAACACCTACGCTCACTCAAAATTATGCCAAAGTGCATCTCACAGTTTCTATGACTAGTTTGCTACAGATAGCACGCTTGTGTTGGCTGTAAGAGAGAGACTTGGAACACTCCAGGCCCACTGAGTGGCCGAACACCAGAGTCAACAGGCTGGACAAGGGCTGCATGTGCTGGGAGAGCCAAGGAGCACTGACTTCTCATGAAACTGAGCCCGTCAAGGCAAAGAGAAGCCAACCAACCCATCTAGGTATTCTGGGAAACCTGCTATTCACCCTTCCTATTTTCCATGTCTGAAGCCTTGGCATTTAGAGCACGTGTGTGAATTTGTTTTTTAAACTAACCTCCAGGGAAATCTTCTTGCCTACACCAGTGGGTATTCTGCAGAGGGAGGCAGCTCACTGGAGCAGAGGTCACCTCCAGAGTCATCTTTCCAAACAAGAAGCTGCTATCACTAGAGACTGCCCAGCAAGCCATGGAAAACTGGCTTACCTTGGTCAGGAAGGCACAAACACAACTGCCAAATGGTCACAGCATTTCTGAAATGCCAGTTTCATAGTAAAGACTAAAAAGAAAATAACTGCTTGTTGATCGCTCCTTCCCACCCCTTCCACCCTTCCAGTACAGTTTAATCAAAACAGATTTTACTGCACATATATTTGATTAATCACCATAGGAATCCCTCACTCCTTTTCAGATGGAGAAAAAAAAAAACCAAAACCAAATCACTCTTTTAGCTGGAAGGTCGCCTGTCTTACCCAGGACCGTGTCTGTGCCATGCGGTGAGACAGGACTCACCTGACGCTGTCATCTTCTGTTTCCTGATAGTGCAAGATTTCCTCTTCTCCTCCCTCTGAGCCCTCCATAGCTGATAGCATCGCTGGTCAGTGCTGGAGATCAGACAGTCTGAAAGGCAAAAAGAGAGCAGGTTTTAGAGGGAAGCTGTCTTAGCAAAGGGATGGGTATGAAATGTCTAGCAAGGAGCCTCTGAGCTGCTCCACCACGCAGGGTGTTGAGGAGCAGCCCCACACCATTTCCACTGCACACCAGGCCCTTTCCAGTAAGCAGTGATGTTCAGTTCAGCTGCCTCAGGTGAACCTTGACACCAACACCAGTTCACCAAACATTCACCTCAGGGGGGACCCACAACACAAGCAGCAGCTTGCATTAGGTTTCCCACATCAGGATGGCTGCTGGTTGAAGACGGCCAAAGACCTCCACGTTAGCAACCTGCACTGAAATGGCAAGCAAGATATTTTCCATTGGTGCTACCAAATATCTCATCCAGCGTTAGGCCCTGAGCAGAGCAACTGGAAAGGGAAGCCCCTCTCCTTCAGTCAGGAGGAAGAACAAGCCACTTTGTTTCCACAACAGTGCGGAGCCTCCACTGAAGAAAGCTGTGGTGAGTTAGGCCAGCTGAGCTCCCAAGTCAGGCAGTGCGCAGGTGAAACAAAAGCCCCCCCCCCCCCCCAACAGAGGGTATGAAGAGGAACTTCCAAAGCAGGGGCAGATTTCACTGCTCCACCTGCCCTGGGCTGTACTCCACGAAGAGCCAAAGCATCTGCTCACACACTCCTCTCCTGCCCCAGCAGGGTTCACCTCAAATGCCAGAAGTAACTGGGATCTCTCTCTCCTCTTTTGCAAAAAGTCTCTTGGGATGTAGCAGGATGCATAAGATGTACCCAGGAGCAAGACACCTGGCTTACACTGGCCAAACACCCCTGTTAAGCCAGAAATCCACCCACCTCATTTATAAAATGGACCTGTAATCAGCTTTGTGCAGAGCAGCACCACCACCTCACAGGCAGCCTTGCCAGACAAGCAAGGATCTAAGCTGCTTGCCAGATCTTTGGAAAGCACTTGGTGTAAGAGCCATCCCTCATGCTCTCCCACTTCATTTCAGTCCCCCTTGGGGGGTTGCACCCACAGCCTCACTGCTGAGTCTGTGTCTCGAGGCCAGGAAAGCAGCAGACAAGCAGCTGTGGGCTGGTTAGCACAGGGCCAGCACCAGCACATCAAGCACAGGCCCCCGGCTGACATGCAGCACACCAGTTATAAATTAACTGCCCTCTGGTTTTCTAAGCTGTTTTACAGCCACCCTTGCTGCCCTCCACCCTCTGGCATGGAACTCAGCTGGGTCTGAGCACCCACCCCCAAGTGTAGCACAGCAAGGCCTGGGCATAGTGCTCAGTCTGGGGACACATCACCAGGGTGAAGGTTTCCCCTGTGATCATGCAGTCTTTGGGCTTACTGGACGGAGCCTTCCCAAGGAGAACGACTGACCAAAACACACGACGTGGTGATGCAAGCCAGCCCAGTGCAGCAGCAGAAGCCACAAGAGGTGACAGCTCCACAGCCCCATTACCCTTCCCTGCAGGGCAGGGCATGGGCATGGTGCAGCCTCTCCATCCCTTGGGCAGAGAAGTCTGGGGCAAGATGATGCAGCTGGGGCAGAAAGACACCAGTGCAAGGGCTGAGATACTGGAGGAAACCTGGTTCAGGTGTTCTGTTGTCTATCTGATCACTCACCAGAACAGCAAGCACCTTCACACTAGCTCAACAGACAGGACCTGCCTTCACTCATCACACAGCTTCCGCTTCAAACACCAGGAAATGCCCACTGTGGGGAAGGGAAACTAAAGCAAAGAGGTAAATAACCTGCCTGGGCTCAGGGGAACAGCCCACTCACCCCGCACCACTGCCAACCTCCTGCCAGTACAGATGTGCAAGTTCTCGTGACACCCTGGCTTTCTGCTCAGCTTGCTTCAGGCCAGACACTGCTCAAGAAATGCAGGTTCCAAAATTAAACCAGATAAACTGGTTCCCATTTATCTCATTCTTCCAGAGTCCTGGAAGAAGGGTGTGCTGCCTCTGTGCACTGTCAGCCCCAAAACAGCCACCCATACAAAGCAGCAGGTAAGAGCACAGCTACAAAGAGCACCTCAGTCCTGTGCATCCCTTTGAAGAGGCCTGAAGGCAGCACATTAAATCCAACTTAAAGGAACACACCAGGCATACATGGCTCAGCTCCTGAGATCATTGTCTGCTAACTCATGCAGGAGCTCTGCTCTCTGTGCTACACAGCAGGCACCCCATGGGGTCTCAGACACCTTTACCCAAGCCTGTTACTGGGGCTGTAGAAGCACAACCGATCAGAATAGTGAAGTATTGCTCCAGCACTGTCTGCTGTTTGAAGAAGGGGTTAGCATGCAAAAAGTCATTTAAGGGCTTTGGTGCCCTCTCAGACTTGTGTCTCCCATGAGCTGACATGCCCATCTCTACAGCAATATGCAGGGCAGTGACAACACCAGTTTCTTTAGCCCGATGTGAGGACAATACACATTCAGGGAAACACAGAAGCTTCAACTTTTCCCAATACCATCTCTAGTATGGACACCTCCCTGATCAACCTAAGAGACAAATCAAACCCCTGTCCTTTTCAGTATTAGGATATTGCATGAGAACTTGGAGGAGAGGAAATCAAAAGCATTCTAACTCTCACAGATGGTTGTTTTTAACTCAAAAAACTGGCAACTGAAAGCCCATGACACGGTCACTGGTCAAAGCCCTGGTTTCTCGGGGCATTCTGCTCCTCTGAAAGTGGCAGTGTCCTACTCACCGAGAGGAAGATTGAGGCAGCTGCCCACCTCTGCTGCCGAGGCTGGAATGTTGTTTCATTTGCTACAAGGAGCTCTGCTCATCAAGACTGGTGTTTGGGGTAAACACACATCTCCCTGGTGCCCTGAGAACAGCCTGCTTGGGAGAAATCCAACAGCTACAAAAGTTGGGTTAGCAGGGCTGGAGAATGGAGGTTTGGTACAGGACACATCAGCACTCCAACCACTTATTTTCCAATAACAGTGTTCCAACCCTCTGAGAAAAGATCCCTATCTCATCTAGCCAGCAATTTGTTTTCCCTTACACACATTTCCACAGCAAGCTTTGCACTCAAGACGCACAGCCACTCTTCTCAGTGTGGGCACACTTAATCCCAATAATCCCGTGCCTTTTGAAGGCAGCAGATGCTGCTGCTACAGAGAAGCAGGACTGGAAGTCCTGGCTTTGCTCGGGCACTCTCAGAAGTTCAATAATTCACAAACACTCAGGCAGTGCAGAGTTCGTGTTTGCTGTTCAACTAGCATGCAACCTCAAGGCATTTCCCCCACATACAGAGCTTTACACCCTTGCTATAGCAAGCAGTAAAGTGTGGCTAGACCTACCCAAGCATCACTGCAGCGGAGGCAAACCCCAGAAATCTGGGCCTAGCGGCTTGCAGAGTCATCACAGAGGTAACCTGGCAAGAACATCAGGAGAGCTTCACAGCTTCTCCTCCCTCTGGGGAGGTACTTGGCACTGCCCACTGTTGGAAATGGAACCTCACAGGATAAGTTACTACATTACCTGATCCCAGGTAGGTTTAAGATCTGGACACAGCCTAAATTTCAGCAATAATTCAAATCTAAGGCACTTGTAGCAGTGCCCATGCAAATGCTGCTTCTGTCCCTGAGAGCTGCAGTCCAGCACCTCAACAAACTGACCGAGGAGGGAAACCCCTGGCAAGTTGACAGATCTTGTCCAGTTCCACACTACGGTAAGCAGCCCTTGTGTCAGGAATCTATATGCTGACATTGGCTAGGAAAACAGCCCAAGGGGCAAGTCAGTCAGCCAGAATTAGATCTGGGGCATAACAGACATCCACGAATGTATCAAACAGCCTTTGCTTTTGGGAGAGCTGGCACTCACCCTGCCTGTCACAGCACACAGTCAGATGTGCCTGGGACACTGAGCAGGGCCAGTGACAGGCACTTAGAGCTGATTCATGTAATGTGTACAAGTACTTGGCACCACAGGGCTTGAATAAGACATTTGTTTCATCCAGCAATGGAAAATCAGGGATACCAAGAGGCCTTGAAGGCCTTCATTCTCCAAGCTCTTCCCACAGCTCAGCTGGGTTAAGAACAGCCCAGTGCCTCCCACACCACCCAGCACGAGACTCCTGTCCCAAAAGGCTCGGGCATCCTTCACAAGAAGCTGCATCCAGGAACCACTCCAGGGCTGTGCGGCAGCTGTTCTGGCACGCTTCCTCAGCTGCTGGGCATGGAAACAGGAGGCAGAGATTAGGGAGGCCTGACAAGCGATGGCCTGGCAGCACCAGAGCTCAGCTCTTCAAGAGCATCAGCTAGTAGACAGACGCTGCGGGCCCCGAACGGCTTGAGGCACGTTAAGGACCGGACTTCCACGGCAGCGACAC